ACACACACACACACACACACACACACACACACACACACACAAACAGAAATTGAAAATCACTGGACTAGGAATTGTTAAGTTGCTTCAAACTCTAAAACAATTCAGGAATTAAAACATTTTTACCTATGTTGTGCAATTAGAACTAAATCTTCAATATAATAAACACAGAAATGGCAAAAATGCCACTTACCTAGTACTAATAATTGATAAAGACTTAAGTGCATTTGTTAGCCAGGAATCTGTCAGACCTTCAATCTCTGCCCTTAACTGTAGCCATGCGTCCCTTTTGGCAGGGCCAAGGAGTCCTGCAACACAGAAAAGGAAGGAAGAGTCAAGCGATGAATATTTTTTTTTTTTTTGAAATCTAGTTTGGACTCCCTTTTGCCCAGTATAGATAATTTTTAATTCAGTCTATGTCACAAATGGAGAGATACATTTATATGAATATTGATCCTTCATTTCTGTATTGACTGTCCATTCAACCATTCAACGAGTACTTATGGAAGAACTTCTAGGTGTCAGGTACTGGGCTAAACATTGGGGACATACAGTGAAAAGTGGGCCCCTGTCTCTGCCCTCACTGGACCTAGGATCTGGTGCAGTGGAATCCAAACATTTGAGAGCTTTCAAAACTCCCATGCACATCTCATTTCAAGGGACTGAGATACATCAGATCTGGAGGAGCTGTCAGATTCTGCCAGCCTAGGGACCCAAACCTCAAATATTTTGGCTGCTTCAAATATTTTAGCTTCTTAATAATCACAATCACGTTCACTTTGAAACAGTAACAATGCCATTATCATATGTAGCTATTAGAATGTTTCTAATACTAGTGCTAATGCTATTATACTTTGTTTTGTAAAAAGAAATTAAAAACCGTGTTTAAAATCCTAAAGTGTATGATACAGTTATAGACAATGGACAACTACAGTGTTATAGAAATGATATTTAAAAAGATCCAGCCTTTGCTTTTATGATAAAACAAGACTGTATAAATCTATTTAAAAAGTTTCTTATTTAAATTGCATTTCAGGATACTGGAGCACATATATAGTTAAATGATTTTTTATAGTTTCTAGCAAGTCTTATTTGTCCTCATTTCAATAAAGAAATGCTCATGCATGATAGAAAAGTTTGTTTAAACTTTCTAAGATATAAGATTATTTCTTAGCGATTTGCTGATTTTTAAATAATTTTAATAATACCCTACAAGAGGGAAATGACATACTTGAATGATAAAAATTAATTCATATTTCCTGAAAGGATATTTATTTTAAAGTTAAACATATTATCCACAATTGATTTTAACTGTAAAACCTATTTATTTGATTTTACAAAAGCATCATGTGAAGAGTTCAGACTGCATTAGGAAGCCAGAGTTTTTTCCCTGGAACCCTGGGCAAGTCAGTAGCTTTCAGGGGCCAGTTTCTTGTTTTGAAATGAAAGTTTTCCATATCTAAGCTCTCTTTTGGTGCTAACATTATTATTGTCTGTGGGTTTTGTCCTCTTACAGTTACTAAGAATCTATTGAGCATCTGTTGTGTGCTTCACTGCCAGGCAGCTGGGGATGCAAGGTGAGCAGACACACAGCCCCATCCTCATGATGCATATGGGAGTACGTGATACATGTACGCTATATATGAACATTTACTGTATTGTATTCTATGACATACATGTGAATATACATATGTATAGTATGCACATATATATTTAGCTGTATCATTCTGTTTTGGATTCTGGTGTGTGGTTCTCAATCACTCTTCCTTTTTTTTTTTTTAAAAAAAGCAGCACATAAACAAACAAAAAACCCTGGGAGATTAATCTTATGTGACCTCATAGCAAATCTTGGGAATCTTATTGACCCAAAATTGATTCTAATAATAAAGATCATTAAGGTTTCTTATATCCAGAAGCACATACAGGATCCTAGTTTTGGTATCACAGGTTTTAACATCCTCTGTAAAATATATAAATAAATATAAAATGTTCAGATATTGCCTACAGAGTATTTGAACTTTTAAAAACCATAATAATCATAGTTAACACTATAGACAGGAAAGATACACTGTCAGAAAATGTGTTTTTTAAAAAGGTAAACTTGTTGGAAGTCTTTGAAATGACATAAATATTTATATTTATTTCTGGTAGGATTCCAGAAAGGTAATGCTCGCTAACAACTCTGCTTCAATAACTGAGGCTCTCTTCTTTGGAAAGATCTTCTTCCCACTGGCTTGGTCAGTTCCTGTATTGATTTTCATTGATAATGTCCCAAGCACCAGCTGAGGAGGGTAAGCTAAAAGCCTTGCCATAAATCTTGATGAAACATCTGAACACAAAGTTTCACAAAGAATTCCCAATTCACAAGAACAGTGGTGCATATTTTATTTTGCACTTAAGTTTTCTCCACCAATTCTAAGAAACTTAAAATTCTGGCTCAATGCAGGTCAACATGAGCTTTTGCTGGTTATAGTAGGATAGGATTAACTACAGTTTGAATTCTACCTATACTCAGAATGCTTTTATTGGATTAAGAAAGCCACACATACCTCCAACATTGTTCTTGTAGGTGTTATATAATTCTTTTACTCTTCTGTAACGAAAAGCCAACTTCCTCATCCAGTCCACTCCTCCTCTTACACCTGTTGGCAAACAAAGGTTTGCACTACTTGCAGCTGCATGGAAGCCATCAGTTGCAAAACTGTAGGTACTGCAACACCCAAAATACATTAAAAAGAAATAAAAGAAATAATTACATGTGCAAAACTCCATAGCTGAATTTCTGTAGGAAACAGCAGACTGAAAGGCATGGCTTACCTTAAGTCCTGCCCATTATCATCAGAGGAAACATCATCTATATGAACTTGATCACACTCCTGTTAAAAACATTGGAAACGTTATTTGTTTTTCAAATGATGCTTGTCACCATGTTTGAAGGTTTTCCCATCTTTCCATTTGATCAGACTATGGCCAGAAGATGGCAGCATGTGCCCGTCCATCCCACCATCTCACGCTTGTTTTCTTGGGCTGGGGAATGGCACCATTTCTACTCTCTAAGATCTAAATCCAGAAGAGTGGTATAAAAAGGGTCAGAAAACATATGGCATGAGGGTTTCTTTAGAGCAATTTAAACAATGATTTTAATCTTAATATTACTGACAAAAAATTCTCTTCTGAATCTTCATAATCATTTGGGTTCTTTGCCGGCCATTTCTGTTGTACTTACTCAAGCACGGATAATTTGAAGATATACAAAACTTGTCTGGTCTCAACACCTTAGGTGGTTACTATTATTTATCATTTGTTGAGTGGCAACAGAGGGGCCTGCCCTCAGATTATGGAGTCCTGTGCGATTTCCATGACTTCCTGCTTGGACCAGAGATACCACGAACAAACCAGGCTAGTGTTATTTTAAAGGTCCTGGTCTTGGAACACAGAAAAAAGGTAATAACCACAGAAGCTGACATTTTCTTTTTTCAAGTTTTTACATAGGTATGCCTACACAGTTGACCTGATTTTAAGTTACAGTGCTCAGAACAAACGGTAACTTTTCTGGATAAGGATTCAATTCTTCTTTGCTAAGAGTCTAATTCTGCTTTTGAATAATCTGCAAAGTTCCAGTGAACTGTTATAAGATCTGAAGGAAGAATTTGGCAAGAGCATTTAAAATACCTAGTACTCAGAATAAGTATA